CATCCCCAAGGGGGAGCAGCTTTAGCCCAGCCTAAAGCCCAGCCTAAAGCCCAGCCTAAAGCTCAGCCTAAAGCCCAGCCTAAAGCCCAGCCTAAAGCCCAGCCTAAAGCCCAGCCTAAAGCTCAGCCTAACCAGCGAGCTGGGCCTTGTCCTGCTGTGCCAGCGCCGCGGGGGAATTCCCGAGAGGGAAAATTCCCAAAGAGGGACCTTTCCGGGGAGGATCCCAGCCCAAAAAAGAGGGAAGGGCAGCTCCTACCTCGGGGGCTCAGCGAGCGGGGAGACGAGAACAGGAACAGGGCCAGCAGGGCCAGGGGCTGCCCGGAATCCGAGCCTGGGGGAGAAAACACACCTCAGGGGGAGGGAATGGGAGGAAAGGGAGAACAGGGGAGAAGATGGGAGAAGATGGGAGAAGATGGGAGAAGATGGGAGAAGATGGGAGAAAAGGGGAGAAAACGGGAAAACACAGGAGAACATGGGAGAAAATGAGAGAACGTGGGAAAACACCGGAGAAAACGGGAGAAGATGGGAGAATATGGGAGAATATGGGAGAAGATGGGAGAAAAGGGGAGAACATGGGAGAAGATGGGAGAACATGGGAGAAAAGGGGAGAACATGGGAGAAAATGGGAAAACACGGGAGAACATGGGAGAAAATGGGAAAACACGGGAGAACATGGGAGAAAAGGAGAGAAAAGGGGAGAAAATGGGAGAACATGGGAGAACACAGGAGAAAACGGGAGAAGATGGGAGAAGATGGGAGAACATGGGAAAACATCGGAGAAACCAGGAGAAAACGGGAGAAAAGCGGAGAAAAGGGGAGAAAACGGGAGAATATGGAAGAAAATGGGAGAACATGGGAGAACGCGGGAGAACATGGGAAAACACCGGAGAAAACAGGAGAACATGGGAGAAGATGGGAGAACACGGGAGAAGATGGGAGAAAAGGGGAGAACATGGGAGAAGATGGGAGAACATGGGAGAAAAGGGGAGAACACAGGAGAAAATAGGAGAACAGGGGAGAAAAGGGGAGAACACGGGAGTACATGGGAGAAAATGGGAGAACATGGGAAAACACCGGAGAAAACGGGAGAAGATGGGAGAAGATGGGAGAAGATGGGAGAAGATGGGAGAAAAGGGGAAAATATGGGAGAAAATGGGAGAACATGGGAGAAAAGGGGAGAAAAGGGGAGAAAAGGGGAGAACACGGGGGAAAATGGGAGAACACAGGAGAAAAGGGGAAAAAATGGGAGAACATGGGAGAAAAGGGGAGAAAAGGGGAGAAAACGGGAGAAAAGGGGAGAA